GACAACAAGAATTCATTCAGATAAGTTTTATTAAATTCAACCGACAAGGTCTGTTTATTTAAATGTTTATTGTATTTTTCTAATTTTACCTGTATATCAGAATAAACTGCCCGAAGTTCATGTTTGCTATTGTTTTGTTGAAGTACTTCAAGTACTATCACAGACATTAACAAGAATGTGGTCCTTGTGGTAGATCCAGTTTTGTTGACTACTACAAGAAATCTGAGCTGATTGAGCAAATATCATTTGCTTTCCTGAGGGAAAGTAGACGCTGTTTTGGGCTCCAGGTTAAAACTATTGACTTTCAAAAAATATTTTGCTTCCTTCCGATTTGTGGAAAAATAGCGGCGTGTTATTTATTTCGGCACCAATCAGAGGGCTTCGCTCCAAATCCCGGGACACAATCTGGAGCCGGTCTTGGTGTATAACAGAAAAGAATTCAATTGAATCGAAGGGGAGAAAAGAAGACATCTTCAGCTGCTGGTTGTAACTAGGTCACTCCGGTCAAGAACAAAGATATAGAAGAAATCTGACACCGCCAGCTGAGGATTATTAAAAGAAGTCAAGTCTTCTCCCTCATCTAAATTTAAATTCAAGGACTGGTGTGATATCTTTTCTTAACTGTTACCAAGAAAGGTCTTTACAGTCATTGTAGATACTTCTTGAAAAGCATTTAGAGAAGTACTATCGTTTTCTATATTTGTTATAATGTTGTTTGACTTTCTAGGGACTTCATGCAGCATATTTTGTATTTTTATTGAAAAACAGCACACTTTGTTTTTAGTATATCCTTTATAGTTAAAAGGTACAATTTTATATCCTTTATTGTAAAAGGTATAATTTTATATCCTTTATTGCAAAAAAGATATATTTTTTACATTATATACTTTTATTTGCATTATATGTTTTTTTATTTGTATATATGTATATGTTACTGGTCATTATTGGCACACAAAACACATTGTGTAACTTGCCTTTCATTTGGTGTGTTCAATAAATTTAACCTATTTGTCTTTTTAAACTTGGCTCGTTACTTGCTATTACTCTGGCATTCATATCAAATATTTCGTACATCTATTAAATTTCATACACACTGCAAGATAGAAATTCCTGTCGATAAATATATTTTTATTTAATGTGTTTTTTTTTTCATTTGTATTAGAAAGGCTTCTAGGATTTTAAGTCTTTCTCTGCATCGAGTGATCTATAATATTTTTTAGGGTTTTATCTACTAAGGTTTGTTTTATTTTGATACTTGTAGTTTAGTTGCTTGTCATGTGATGATAAATATGTGTACTAAGTTTCGAAAAGTCAACCGCGTTGTTAGTATATTTTAACAACTAGAAATTAAACTCATCTTGAATATGACTAGAGTACTGGCCGAAAGCGTCTGGAATAATGAACACTATGGGCGGTTTCTACATATTCATAGCCCTCGTAAAAACTGTAAGGATACTAAACAAATTGAATCAAAAGGAAAGATTGCTGCCCATATATATATATATATATATATATATATATATATATATATATAAAATATATATATTAAAAATATGATTCCAAATCGCTACATAAGAGGTCTCATGTTTCAAAACAAGAGCCGAAAACTTCAATATAATCCTTTAAATTAAATTGAGTTGAAAGTAAAATGGGCTCAGTTCCATCTTCAAGCGAAATTTTTGTTGGAATAACGTATATCTGAAATTTACTTGTTTTAAAATTGAAATCAAAATCCCCATGGTAACAGCTATGGTGAATTGTCTAAATTGGGTAGGCGAGTGTAGGGTGTTTATAATAAGTAGCGGTATAGAGATACTTTCAAGGTGTCAAGTCGGGGAAAGGTGGGGGTGTCAAAAATGAAACGGAAGATGTATTGGCCATCGTCTAGTTTGCTTGTCTATGGAGATTTATTTATTTATTTTATTTTATTTTATTATGAAAGGGAATTGTGCATATAAAAAAAGAAAAACTTTCGTAACGTTTGTTTTTTGACGACTTCATAAAGGGTTATCTTATATGTAAGGTATTTAAACTACTAATTTAGGCTATGGATTATGAAGTGTGTTATGTTGTATGCATGTTTGTAGTTAATTATTCCTACTATGAATCTGATGATTGGGCTATTTGTTAAACAATTTATATAAATTTTTTTATCTAATAATTCAAACCAAAAATCTGATGATGCCTACAAAAAACCGTTAACTCGTGTCTATTATTTAATAGATTATTATTATTTAGAAGTTTAATAATGTGTAATTTTTCATGGAGGCACAAAGGGCATGGGTCATCCCAAGCTTTACATATTCTAGCCTTGTCAATATATATATATATATATATATATATATGAATAATACCAATTTGTAATTGGTAGGGATTATTCCAAGCAGGACATTAATCCAATGAGAGCTCAATGTCAGTTACAGAGAAATATATAATAATAAATCAAGAAAACACCTTAAAAATTCATATCGGTTATAATTCATTTCATGAATATTATTAAATTCATCTCTTCAGACTGAATTTTCTTAAAAATACTCGGTAATTATCCCACTTGATATATCGTTTACTTTTAAACCCAAATTTAAATTTTAATAATTAAAAAAAAAATTATCTTTTAAAATTTTTTACCTTTCGAACTTAAGAATTTGAATGATACAGATTATTAATATTTAATTCTAATATTTTATGCAACAAAAATTAAATAAACAAGTTTTAACACACAATTTCGAATGATCACCACGAGAACGGGAACTAAAAAACTGTCAGGTTATATCTGCACCTGAAGATTGCAAGAACTGCATGAAATTACGTGTCATGCTGTCGACGTTGCATATTATATATATTCACTAATACATACATACATATATATATATATATATATATATATATATATATATATATATATATATATATATATATATATATATATATATATGAAATGGACAAAGTACGACAATTATTTTAAGACATTTTTATGCTTATACCTTTTTTTATATATACAAATATTTAAGTAAATGCACTGCTGTATAAAACCGGATATCCATTATGACCTCCGTATTTCACAGATCCGAAAACCTATTTATCAGTGGTTAAAATTCCTCAATGATAACATTACTTTATCTCTCTTTGCCAATTATAGCATCAAATCAAATCCTGAATTTCTCCAAATCCTTAAAACCGCATAAAAACATCAAGACATTTTAGTGTCACTTCGCGGAGAATATTCTCCAAATATTATTGCCTGCATGCACAACTAAAGTACCCTTCTACGGCCATAATGGCAAAATTTACACTTAAACTAATGGAGTAAGTATGGGAAATCCATTTGGTCCGTGATTTTCTAATTATTACATATCCTACGTAGAAAACAAAGTATTTAAAAATGTTCCTAAAGCCAAATATATGTCGGCTAACCGCAGTAACTTGTCAGTCATTTTTAATGTAACTTGTATAAAAGAGGGATTGTTGCCCAAATGCACAATTACACACACATATATATATATATAACAACTTAAATTTTCTGTTAGTAAACACATCCATCATAGCGTATTGAAATGAAATGTAAACAATATTTGAAAAATCTCTAAAATCAGTTTCAGATACGTAAAAGTATTTTTCATGACCTTTTTTTAACGATTTTTGAGATTTTTTTTCAAAATTAAATCGTCAAAGAAAGTATCTAAATTACTGCAATACATTCTAAATTAAAAGGAAAAAAATGTACATAAAAGTAGATACTGAGTATTTGTTTTGCTGAAGAGAATGATTTGTGTTGATTCGCTAAAATTCAACAAATTTTCGAATCCTATTTCAACTAGAGATAAGTTGTATTTCGTTCCTTTTTTTATCTGAGAAAATCATGCAAATTGGGCAAAGTGCGTTCGGTAAAAATGAGCGGGAAAAATTCTTACCCTTTTTTAAGAGGCAAATTTACGTATTTACTAAGGGTGTGCAGAAATAACCAGAATTATCTTTTGAAAACTACAGAATCAATAACCAAATTCAAAACAGGTTTATTCGCTGACAACAATTGCTTATACCGACTCAGTGACGAAGAACTTTTGCCATCAAGCCATGGTGAAAAGTACCTTTAAGTGAAGTAAAAAAAAGTACCTTCTCGTTTAGATTCTTGAAATTTCACATCTGTTCAGTTTCGTATTTAAACGTAAACAAAGCAATTTTCTAAGGAAGTAATGGATTTTTTATTTATTAATTCCACAGATTTTATCACTTTAAACATTATTTTTAATGGATGCTCGTACATGAGTAGACGCTCCGCTTATTAAGCAGGATATTTATTTATTTTCGTCTACTGGCCTGAATATTTGAGAAAACTTAATGAAGAAAAATATGCCCGCCCCGAGAGCATATATATATATATATATATATATATATATATATATATATATATATATATATATACACAATTCTTTGTATTTGTAAGAATTTCAACAAAAACCAGAATAGCTGCTTTTCAGGTAAGAGCCAAAAATACTGGTTTGGAGATTTCAAGTGAATGCGAGAACAAATATTCACAAAAAACATTAAACCTCTTTGTTAACAATCCTGTTCTAAGTACAGGCTACAATTTTGAGAAGTAATAGATTTATAATGTTGGTATTGCACATTTTAAAAGTTATCAGTTGTGTTTTTTTTTTAAATTTTGATTTGTTTTTTTTTTACTTCCTTTTGAAATAAATTTATAGTTATCCATTTTTCTTGCGGGGGTTTTATTAGCCAGACATTTAAAACAGAGTGTCTCTTTCGTCAACCATTTAGCTCTGCACACATCTGTTTATGGACGTGTTATTGAATTGCAGTGTTAAGCATGCTCTTTTTTTGGTTGTTGGGTAGCAATTGAACAATTCTATGATATTCTCCATTTGGGTGGGGGTGCATCCTTCCTTTCATTTAACCAAACAATAAACAATACATATCCCCATGTCTCATTCTGTCTTTCTAACTAGATAGACGCCCCCCTCTTCGCCGCCATTACACAACTAAGCGATGATGGTGCTGTTCGTTTTCCCCTTGTACGATTGCACATGAGAGTGGCGGCCACACCGGAAGGCGGATATAAAACCCTGTCGGAAACGACTGTTCATGAAACAGTAAGTAATTGGATTACAGCAGGTGGACGTGTAGGCCAACAATTGGATGTACGACTTGGTCATGCTGGTCAAATTGCGTCTGAAAAAGAAAGTGAAAGTGAAAGTAGATTTGTAAAGAAAGAAAATGATTTCAAACTCATTTATCTCATGTCTATAAAATATTAATAAAAATATTAATTGTTATTTCACCAGTGAGTTTTCATCAATACAATATTTACACTTGTTTACTATATAGGACATTGTATGTTTTAGATAATAATAATATCAATTAACAATATCAATTACTCCAACAGACTCGATAGTGACAATAACTATTGCTATTAAAACAGACATATTTCATGGAAGTGAGAAGATGAAACGAAAACGTATTCGAAAGAGAGAGAAAGAGAGAAAGAAACAGAGAGAAATAGAGAGAGAAAAGAGAAAGAAAAAAGAAAGGGAGAGAGAAAAGATAGAAACAATGAGAGTGAGAAGAGAAAGAGAGAGAGAAACAGAGTGAGTGAAAAGAGAGAAAAAGAGAGAAAAAGAGAGAGAAAGAGAGACTGAAAGAAGAGAGTGAGAAAGAGAAAGAGAGAAAGGGTGAGATCAAACTGCTGACGGGTTTTCGTCCTCTCTCTTCAGAGCTCGACCGAGGAAATAAAACAAATGTGCACCACAACTAAATTCAAATGATTTCTGAAAAGAGCGGAACGAAAACCGGTCAGCATTTTTTTTTCTTTCTTTTTCGAATTACTCGTAATTATACGCAGTAATTATGCCTTTTCTACTTGTTAAAAATTTCCCATCACTTCCATGAAGTATGCTTTTTAATAACACTAACAAAATTTTGTGCGACAGGGGAAATTTTTAAATAACAAATACGATCGTCGTATGAATTTCTTTTTTTTACTAACGTTCACCTAATCCAAGGCTTAAGAGCCAGTCATGGTAAAGGTTTACTGTTAAAATATTTGCGATAGGTGTATGATATTAATGAAAGTAGAGGTGGTAGGAAGTAATAATTGTGATGATAGTTAACGATTGTTTCTTGACTTGAAGAAGTTAATGTTGTAGTGTTTCATTGACTACAATTCAACTAAGAACTATCTAGCCTTCCTACGACTGTCTAAAGTTGTGATATGGAAATAATGTTATTATTCTATGAATAATTGAAACTAGTATACTGATCGAATCATTATTTACATTATTCGGACTATTGTCCTCATCTTTGTCGCCATATTTATTACAACGTTTCGGCCGTTGTACGCTCCGGTCTTCTTTAGGTGGTTGGAATGTCGAACTGAACCCTTTATTTCGCTCACTGGGGTAGACTGTTCTAGTTCTACGTGCCATGTTTGATGGATGTCAGATATCAGTTATCTCCTGTTAATTCTCCTCTGAAAATTCTCCACTGCCTTAACCGGGTATTGAACTCACTCTCTTTGGGTCCTGTCACCGGATCTAACCAACGCCGTTATCCACTGTGCCATGTGTCCTTAAGGAGCGAAATAAAGGGTTCATATCGATATATATATATATATATATATATATATATATATATATATATATATATATATATATATATATATATATATATATATATATATATATATATATATATATATATATATATATATATATATATATATATATATATATATATATATATATATATATATATATATATATATATATATATATATATATATATATATATATAATGTGTAGTTTGTCATCCACTTTTGTTAATGTAAGCGGGTTTTATTAAAGAAAAAGTTTGTTTTGATGTTTTAAATGTTTTTTTCTTGTTTTCAAACCCGGTAATGGATGTTTACTTCTTGTGTGTCGAAAAATTGTCCTTACGTCTCTGTTCGAACGTTTTACTTTTTTTATTATTCCTTTTCAAGAAATGTATGTTATGTCTTTTGGAATTGCGAAAACGTTGATATATTGACTTTTTTTCATCATCATGTTTAGCGTGTTGATAATGTAATTTCCTGTTCGCTTACACATGTAAGGCCACATACAATATTATTGTTTAATAATTATTAAATATATTTATTGGACCAATTAAAAATAGCCTGAAAATATTTCATTTAATGTAGTTATTTTTGTTTTTATAATCATTGTTTCAAGTATTTTTTAGTTATTTTTAAATATATTTTAATTATTATATTTGTTTTGTCTTCTAGAATATGCGTAATGTTTGTAGGAATATGATAGATTTGTGTGCTATGTTAATATGAATCTTTATAGAACGATTGTCTGATAACTGCTATATTAGTCGATGCGAAAGTGTATTAGCCATTTGACCAATCTATATGCAATTAAAAAAAAAATCAAACAAAAAAAAACATTTGTGATACAATCTCCTAATGTAAAAGATAATTTATATATGCACAGACAATTTCATACATCGGTGATACCAACTCGCCTACACTCGCCTGAAAAACAAAAGGCGACTTAAAAGAATTCGATTAAATTTTCATTTCTTCATCTACCAAAAATTCCCTCTGCAAATCATTACGTCTAACTTTGATTCTTTTTGATAATCGGCATGTGAAATATCGATAGAACAGTTGAAGCCTGAATAAGCTCGGATCTCGTTTCTTTTTTTTTTGAGTTTTAATTGAATTAATAAATCTTGCAATATTGGGATGATGAATTATACAATGTCTTGGTTTCTGCTTCGGTGCCAGTTTTCGATCTCGTTTGTTGATGGCTGAATATTTAAAAGCACTCATGAATAGGTTGACCAAACATTTTCTGAAAATAAAGATTCCGCGATGATTTAATTTGAAACTTTTCCTATATAAGTTTATTCAAAATATTAAAAAAAAAGTTTTATAGCTCATTTAATTTTTTTCCATTGCTAACAGTTTAATTTTTTTGGATTACCCCACTTGGCTTTACCAGAAACGCTCTTTAGGGTGCCCTCTTTAAGTCTATAAAAAAGGCAAGCATATTCTCTTTCTTTCTCTTTTTAACTCTTACTTCCAGATAAAGAACGCTGCCGACGGGTCGTGTTTGCTTCTTTGGTCCGCTTTTGACTTTTGAACTCTCTCTCTCACACACGCACACACACGCGCGCGCACACGTGACTACCACACACACACACACACACAAGCAAACGTTCTTATAGCTAGTTTCGATGTTTTTCCTTTCATTTCAAATAGTGTACACATGCAATTATGTTAATGCATGCATATAATTGCAGATTGTATTAAATTTATTGTTTTGTTTTTATTATTTTTAACCGGACTCACATGAGTCCTCCAATTTTATTTGCTGGACAAATGTTCTAAGAGATCATAAATATTTACTATACAACGTACACACACTCATTTAATTCCTTCAGATTTAATAAAAATCAGCATCATGTGAAAGTTCGATTCTCTTTATAGCATTATTGTTATTGTTGCCAAATATTTACACAACATTTCTATCTTGGCATTGCCATTTTGTCATTTTTCGCATCAAAGTTATAAATGTAATCTTCGTAATAAAGAAATATCTTTGACCTTTCGAAAAATAACACCTGTCATGTTTTTAAGAGCAACAATTTTTCAGGTGAATTTGCACTGTGGGTAAGTCAGCACCCAGGTTGTAATTTTAAAAAAATAATATATTTGAGATACAATCTCTTAATGGGAAAGAGAATTAATATATTAAGTTTTATACACACTGGAACTAAACTTCCGTTATCAATAAATAAACACCCAAAACGTATTTTGAAATCAAAAGAAAATGGTTGATTCCGTCAACACAACAATAAAATCAATATTTCTACATGTGATAGTACTTGACATAATTTTCATTTGACAATATGAATACAATAGCGCTTTCTAAATGCTTCTAGTTGCTAAGGACATTTAGTATGTTGTTAATAGTTAGTTTGTTTTCAATAAATTCATTTCGTTTTTTCCCTGAAAAGTCTACATCGGACGAAACAGTTTTTCTATTGTTTTTCACACACACACACACACACACACACACACACACACACACACACACACACACATATATATATAGAGAGAGAGAAAGAGAGAGAGGAGATAGAAATATATATTCGATTGTATGTTAAATCCTGTTGTAAGGGTTTAAGTGTCAGTTTTGTTGTGACGGCATTGAGTAATAGCTTCCGTTAGTCAAGACTAATAGGTTATGAAGCAGCGACCAAGGAGTCATTCTGAGAAAAGGAAGAGCGATTAATTTGGTAAGGGATATTGTGAAACCTGGTAAGCACTTGAATTATGTATCTGAAGAATAAGGTCTGAAAGGAGATATTTCTTTTGTAGCAATACATTGTGAGGGCACATTGCAGTCAATAATCAACCCAAAAAGCGAGAAGCGTGAAATCCACAACGTTTGAAGCCCCCACCCACCGTATAACTCCTAATTGTGGCCATCAGTCTTTTGGCTGTTCTTGAAATTGAAAAGGGCAATTGAAAGGTCAACACTCTTCAGCCGATTCTAAAATTGAATTTTCAAGGCGCAATTGGTTCAAAACTAAACCAAAATATTTCTTCATGAAATTTAAGATTGGATAGAAAATTTGACAATATGTGTGGAACTATATATTAACGATATAGAAATGTGGAGTTAAGAAACACAAAAATATACAGACTGAGTTTGTTTACAAACGTAAGCCGTAGTATTAACACAGCTCTCTGCCTATCGGTTGCCAACTTACACACATACATACAACTACATAAATATGTTACACACATTCTCATATGTAGACGCAATCTATTTTCTTAACGCAATTCTGTTGTATTGTAAAGAAAGTCAAACAAAAATATTTTTGTGTGAAGTTGTTTTGCAAAGAATCTTTATAATTTATTTATTTCAATTTGAAAGAAAAGTAATGCTCAATAATAAGAATCAGTAGATAAGTATAGCTCTCATATCCAACAAATCAACAACAGGTCAATTGACTTTACTGATTGACCGACTCACACAATAAATAATAAGGTAAATAATCAGGACATTTACATTGCAATAAATATTTGTCGTTTTTTGAGTTTTTTTTAAAAATATGCGATAAATCTAGACACAATTCAATGTAAAATTTAGTTTGAAATTCGCTGAAAGTCAATA